GTTATATATACTGCCACACTGACACACGTTATATATACTGCCACACTGACACACGTTATATATACTGCCACACACTGACACGTTATATATACTGCCACACACTGACACACGTTATATATACTGCCACACACTGACACACGTTATATATACTGCCACACTGACACACGTTATATATACTGCCACACTGACACACGTTATATATACTGCCACACACTGACACACATTATATATACTGCCACACTGACACACGTTATATATACTGACACACGTTATATATACTGCCACACACTGACACACGTTATATATACTGACACACACTGACACACGTTATATATACTGCCACACTGACACACGTTATATATACTGCCACACGTTATATATACTGCCACACACTGACACACGTTATATATACTGACACACACTGACACACGTTATATATACTGACACACACTGACACACGTTATATATACTGCCACACTGACACACGTTATATATACTGCCACACTGACACACGTTATATATACTGCCACACTGACACACGTTATATATACTGCCACACACTGACACGTTATATATACTGCCACACACTGACACACGTTATATATACTGCCACACACTGACACACGTTATATATACTGCCACACTGACACACGTTATATATACTGCCACACTGACACACGTTATATATACTGCCACACACTGACACACATTATATATACTGCCACACTGACACACGTTATATATACTGACACACGTTATATATACTGCCACACACTGACACACGTTATATATACTGACACACACTGACACACGTTATATATACTGCCACACTGACACACGTTATATATACTGACACACACTGACACACGTTATATATACTGCCACACACTCACACACGTTATATATACTGCCACACTGACACACGTTATATATACTGCCACACTGACACACGTTATATATACTGCCACACACTGACACACGTTATATATACTGCCACACTGACACACGTTATATATACTGCCACACACTGACACACGTTATATATACTGACACACACTGACACACGTTATATATACTGCCACACTGACACACGTTATATATACTGACACACACTGACACACGTTATATATACTGCCACACTGACACACGTTATATATACTGCCACACTGACACACGTTATATATACTGCCACACTGACACACGTTATATATACTGCCACACACTGACACACGTTATATATACTGACACACGTTATATATACTGACACACGTTATATATACTGACACACTGACACACGTTATATATACTGCCACACACTGACACACGTTATATATACTGACACACACTGACACACGTTATATATACTGCCACACTGACACACGTTATATATACTGCCACACACTGACACACGTTATATATACTGCCACACTGACACACGTTATATATACTGACACACTGACACACGTTATATATACTGACACACTGACACACGTTATATATACTGCCACACACTGACACACGTTATATATACTGACACACACTGACACACGTTATATATACTGCCACACTGACACACGTTATATATACTGCCACACACTGACACACGTTATATATACTGCCACACTGACACACGTTATATATACTGACACACTGACACACGTTATATATACTGCCACACTGACACACGTTATATATACTGCCACACACTGACACACGTTATATATACTGCCACACTGACACACGTTATATATACTGCCACACACTGACACACGTTATATATACTGCCACACTGACACACGTTATATATACTGCCACACTGACACACGTTATATATACTGACACACACTGACACACGTTATATATACTGCCACACACTGACACACGTTATATATACTGACACACACTGACACACGTTATATATACTGACACACACTGACACACGTTATATATACTGCCACACTGACACACGTTATATATACTGCCACACTGACACACGTTATATATACTGCCACACTGACACACGTTATATATACTGCCACACTGACACACGTTATATATACTGCCACACACTGACACACGTTATATATACTGCCACACACTGACACACGTTATATATACTGCCACACACTGACACACGTTATATATACTGCCACACTGACACACGTTATATATACTGCCACACTGACACACGTTATATATACTGCCACACACTGACACACGTATATATACTGCCACACTGACACACGTTATATATACTGACACACGTTATATATACTGCCACACACTGACACACGTTATATATACTGACACACACTGACACACGTTATATATACTGCCACACTGACACACGTTATATATACTGACACACACTGACACACGTTATATATACTGCCACACACTGACACACGTTATATATACTGCCACACTGACACACGTTATATATACTGCCACACTGACACACGTTATATATACTGCCACACACTGACACACGTTATATATACTGCCACACTGACACACGTTATATATACTGCCACACACTGACACACGTTATATATACTGACACACACTGACACACGTTATATATACTGCCACACTGACACACGTTATATATACTGACACACACTGACACACGTTATATATACTGCCACACTGACACACGTTATATATACTGCCACACTGACACACGTTATATATACTGCCACACTGACACACGTTATATATACTGCCACACACTGACACACGTTATATATACTGACACACGTTATATATACTGACACACTGACACACGTTATATATACTGACACACTGACACACGTTATATATACTGACACACACTGACACACGTTATATATACTGCCACACTGACACACGTTATATATACTGCCACACACTGACACACGTTATATATACTGACACACGTTATATATACTGACACACTGACACACGTTATATATACTGACACACTGACACACGTTATATATACTGACACACACTGACACACGTTATATATACTGCCACACACTGACACACGTTATATATACTGCCACACTGACACACGTTATATATACTGACACACACTGACACACGTTATATATACTGCCACACACTGACACACGTTATATATACTGACACACACTGACACACGTTATATATACTGCCACACTGACACACGTTATATATACTGACACACACACGTTATATATACTGACACACGTTATATATACTGACACACTGACACACGTTATATATACTGACACACTGACACACGTTATATATACTGCCACACACTGACACACGTTATATACTACTGCGTTATATATACTGACACACTGACACACGTTATATATACTGACACACTGACACACGTTATATATACTGACACACTGACACACGTTATATATACTGCCACACACTGACACACGTTATATATACTGACACACTGACACACGTTATATATACTGCCACACACTGACACACGTTATATATACTGACACACTGACACACGTTATATATACTGACACACACTGACACACGTTATATATACTGCCACACACTGACACACGTTATATATACTGCCACACACTGACACACCACACTGACACACGTTATATATACTGACACACGTTATATATACTGACACACGTTATATATACTGCCACACTGACACACGTTATATATACTGCCACACACTGACACACGTTATATATACTGCCACACACTGACACACGTTATATATACTGCCACACTGACACACGTTATATATACTGACACACTGACACACGTTATATATACTGACACACTGACACACGTTATATATACTGACACACACTGACACACGTTATATATACTGACACACACTGACACACGTTATATATACTGACACACTGACACACGTTATATATACTGACACACTGACACACGTTATATATACTGCCACACACTGACACACGTTATATATACTGCCACACACTGACACACGTTATATATACTGCAACACACTGACACACGTTATATATACTGACACACTGACACACGTTATATATACTGACACACTGACACACGTTATATATACTGACACACTGACACACGTTATATATACTGACACACTGACACACGTTATATATACTGACACACTGACACACGTTATATATACTGCCACACTGACACGTTATATATACTGACACACTGACACACGTTATATATACTGCCACACACTGACACACGTTATATATACTGACACACACTGACACACGTTATATATACTGCCACACACTGACACACGTTATATATACTGCAACACACTGACACACGTTATATATACTGACACACTGACACACGTTATATATACTGACACACTGACACGTTATATATACTGACACACTGACACACGTTATATATACTGCCACACTGACACACGTTATATATACTGACACACTGACACACGTTATATATACTGACACACTGACACACGTTATATATACTGACACACTGACACACGTTATATATACTGACACACTGACACGTTATATATACTGACACACTGACACACGTTATATATACTGACACACTGACACACGTTATATATACTGCCACACTGACACACGTTATATATACTGACACACTGACACACGTTATATATACTGCCACACTGACACACGTTATATATACTGACACACACTGACACACGTTATATATGTATACACAAACCATCCTACTGGGTGACGTCACAAACTAGAGAAATGTCAACAAAGAGTGACGTCACGAGAAGACATGTCAACAAATAGTGACGTCACAAGGAGAAGACGTGTCAAGAAAGCGTGACGTCACAAGGAGAAGACGTGTCACCAAAGCGTGACGTCACAAGGAGAAGACGTGTCAACAAAGCGTGACGTCACAAGAAGACGTGTCAACAAAGCGTGACGTCACAAGGAGGAGGAACATCAACAAAGCGTGACGTCACAAGGAGGAGGAACATCAACAAAGCGTGACGTCATACTCACCGAGGATGCCGACGAGGATGAAGAGGATGCTGGCGGCGGCGGCGAAGATGGTGGCGGCCCGCGGGTAGTGGATGACGGGGGCGGCGTCCCCCATGGACGAGTTGCTGGCTTCCTGTCCCCCGGGGGCCTCGCTGTGCACGGTGGCGTCCGTCTCGAACACCAGCGAGTCCATTGTTGCCTCCATGTTGCCTGTTACGTGTTCCTTGGTGGGGCTACTTGCTGTCACGTGTTACGTGGTGGGGCTACTTGCTGTCACGTGTTCCTTGGTGGGGCTGCCTGTCACGTGTTCCTTGGTGGGGCTACTTGCTGTCACGTGTTCCTTGGTGGAGCTACTTGCTGTCACGTGTTCCTTGGTGGGGCTGCCTGTCACGTGTTCCTTGGTGGTGCTACTTGCTGTCACGTGTTCCTTGGTGGAGCTACTTGCTGTCACGTGTTCCTTGGTGGGGCTGCCTGTCACGTGTTCCTTGGTGGTGCTACTTGCTGTCACCTGTTCCTTGGTGGGGCTACTTGCTGTCACCTGTTCCTTGGTGGGGCTACTTGCTGTCACGTGTTCCTTGGTGGGGCTGCTTGCTGTCACGTGTTCCTTGGTGGGGCTACTTGCTGTTACGTGTTCCTTGGTGGGGCTACTTGCTGTCACCTGTTCCTTGGTGGGGCTACTTGCTGTCACCTGTTACTTGGTGGGGCTGCCTGTTACGTGGCCAGGCTCCTTGCTGGTGTTACCTGGTGCTGTTACTTGGGGCCCTCCTGTTACTTGGTGGGGCTACTTGCTGTCACGTGTTCCGTGGTGGGGCTACTTGCTGTCACGTGTTCCGTGGTGGGGCTACTTGCTGTCACCTGTTACTTGGTGGGGCTGCCTGTCACGTGTTACGTGGTGGGGCTACTTGGTGGTGTTCCTTGGTGGGGCTGCCTGTTACGTGGCCAGGCTCCCTGCTGGTGTTACTTGGCCAGGCTCCCTGCTGGTGTTACTTGGCCAGGCTCCCTGCTGGTGTTACTTGGACAGGCTCCCTGCTGGTGTTACTTGGACAGGCTCCCTGCTGGTGTTACTTGACCAGGCTCCCTGCTGGTGTTACTTGGACAGGCTCCCTGCTGGTGTTACTTGGACAGGCTCCCTGCTGGTGTTACTTGACCAGGCTCCCTGCTGGTGTTACTTGGCCAGGCTCCCTGCTGGTGTTACTTGGCCAGGCTCCCTGCTGGTGTTACTTGGCCAGGCTCCCTGCTGGTGTTACTTGGCCAGGCTCCCTGCTGGTGTTACTTGGCCAGGCTCCCTGCTGGTGTTACTTGGCCAGGCTCCCTGCTGGTGTTACTTGGACAGGCTCCCTGCTGGTGGTGATACACGGGTCCTGTGTTACTTGTGTTCCCTGAAGAGCCTTATAAGTAACACCGAGTGTGTTGCACAAAGGAGCACTGGTGTTCCTGGGGCCACTGTGGGAGGGAGTAGTGACCACTGTGGGAGGGAGTAGTGACCACTGTGGGAGGGGTCGAACCCTGAGTGAGCCTGACACACGTGGCTACAACACTGGCGCCAGACACCCCGGCGCGTCACTCCTCACAGCTCTGCCAGTGTCCGGGGTTCGACACCTGCCCAGGAGTGTGTGGGAGAGGGCAGCTAGCCTGGGAGAGTGTAAGGGAAGGCAGGGAACGTGGGAGAGAGAGTGTGGGAAAGGCAGCCAGTGTGGGAGCGCAGAGCAGATGCGTGCATACTCCTATACAGTCCGGCGGTAACTGGTGCCAGAGTGTCGCGCCGCTGCCGGCCGCACGTCCGCCACCTCCGCCGCGAGGTGCCACAAGGTGCCATCACGTCTCCTTAACTATTTACATAACAAACTGCTACTTTAACAGCCAATTACACCTAGTAATTACTAACTCAAGATGCCTAGCTGAAGTAGATCGCTTAATATAGTAGAAAAAGTAGTTATTTCTTACGATGAGCCCCGGCGACGACTGTGATTGGTGGAGAGGCCCGTAGCTCCGCCCACTCGAGCCTCCAGCGGGCTGTGATTGGCTATCTAGCCGCGGCATCTTCAATTACATTGTGACGTTAATTAACTCTACATTCAGTCTTTGGTGAGAGTAATTAGTCTTTAATTATAACAGAAAGTCTAGATAAAGGCTTGTTAATCCTAATTGTTCCCCCTACTATCCTGCCAGACTTGTTCTGTCCTCCCCACCATCACTTAAACCCTTGTTGTGTCCTGTGTGGAGTATAAGGTAGACTGTGTGGAGTATAAGGTAGACTGTGTAGAGTATAAGGTAGACTGTAGAGTATAAGGTAGACTGTGTAGAGTATAAGGTAGACTGTGTAGAGTATAAGGTAGACTGTAGAGTATAAGGTAGACTGTTGAGTATAAGGTAGACTGTTGAGTATAAGGTAGACTGTTGAGTATAAGGTAGACTGTAGAGTATAAGGTAGACTGTTGAGTATAAGGTAGACTGTAGAGTATAAGGTAGACTGTTGAGTATAAGGTAGACTGTAGAGTATAAGGTAGACTGTTGAGTATAAGGTAGACTGTAGAGTATAAGGTAGACTGTTGAGTATAAGGTAGACTGTTGAGTATAAGGTAGACTGAGTATAAGGTAGAGTATAAGGTAGACTGTTGAGTATAAGGTAGACTGTAGAGTATAAGGTAGACTGTTGAGTATAAGGTAGACTGTAGAGTATAAGGTAGACTGTTGAGTATAAGGTAGACTGTTGAGTATAAGGTAGACTGTAGAGTATAAGGTAGACTGTAGAGTATAAGGTAGACTGTTGAGTATAAGGTAGACTGTTGAGTATAAGGTAGACTGTTGAGTATAAGGTAGACTGTACAGTATAAGGTAGACTGTAGAGTATAAGGTAGACTGTAGAGTATAAGGTAGACTGTTGAGTATAAGGTAGACTGTAGAGTATAAGGTAGACTGTAGAGTATAAGGTAGACTGTTGAGTATAAAGTAGAGTATAAGGTAGACTGTTGAGTATAAGGTAGACTGTAGAGTATAAGGTAGACTGTTGAGTATAAGGTAGACTGTAGAGTATAAGGTAGACTGTTGAGTATAAGGTAGACTGTAGAGTATAAGGTAGACTGTTGAGTATAAGGTAGACTGTTGAGTATAAGGTAGACTGTTGAGTATAAGGTAGACTGTAGAGTATAAGGTAGACTGTTGAGTATAAGGTAGACTGTTGAGTATAAGGTAGACTGTTGAGTATAAGGTAGACTGTTGAGTATAAGGTAGACTGTTGAGTATAAGGTAGACTGTACAGTATAAGGTAGACTGTAGAGTATAAGGTAGACTGTTGAGTATAAGGTAGACTGTAGAGTATAAGGTAGACTGTAGAGTATAAGGTAGATTGTTGAGTATAAGGTAGACTGCAGAGTATAAGGTAGACTGTTGAGTATAAGGTAGACTGTAGAGTATAAGGTAGACTGTAGAGTATAAGGTAGACTGTTGAGTATAAGGTAGACTGTAGAGTATAAGGTAGACTGTAGAGTATAAGGTAGACTGTTGAGTATAAGGTAGACTGTTGAGTATAAGGTAGAGTATAAGGTAGACTGTAGAGTATAAGGTAGACTGTTGAGTATAAGGTAGACTGCAGAGTATAAGGTAGACTGTTGAGTATAAGGTAGACTGTTGAGTATAAGGTAGACTGTAGAGTATAAGGTAGATTGTTGAGTATAAGGTAGACTGCAGAGTATAAGGTAGACTGTAGAGTATAAGGTAGACTGTAGAGTATAAGGTAGACTGTTGAGTATAAGGTAGACTGTTGAGTATAAGGTAGACTGTTGAGTATAAGGTAGACTGTCGAGTATAAGGTAGACTGTAGAGTATAAGGTAGACTGTTGAGTATAAGGTAGAGTATAAGGTAGACTGTAGAGTATAAGGTAGACTGTTGAGTTTAAGGTAGACTGTTGAGTATAAGGTAGAGTATAAGGTAGACTGTAGAGTATAAGGTAGACTGTTGAGTATAAGGTAGACTGTAGAGTATGAGGTAGACTGTAGAGTATAAGGTAGACTGTTGAGTATAAGGTAGACTAGAGTATAAGGTAGACTGTTGAGTATAAGGTAGAGTATAAGGTATAGTATAAGGTAAACTGTAGAGTATAAGGTAGACTGTTGAGTATCAGGTAGAGTATAAGGTAGACTGTTGAGTATAAGGTAGAGTATAAGGTAGACTGTAGAGTATAAGGTAGACTGTTGAGTATAAGGTAGAGTATAAGGTAGACTGTAGAGTATAAGGTAGACTGTTGAGTATAAGGTACACTGTTGAGTATAAGGTAGAGTATAAGGTAGATTGTTGAGTATAAGGTACACTGTTGAGTATAAGGTAGAGTATAAGGTAGATTGTTGAGTATAAGGTAGACTGTTGAGTATAAGGTAGAGTATAAGGTAGATTGTTGAGTATAAGGTAGACTGTTGAGTATAAGGTACACTGTTGAGTATAAGGTAGAGTATAAGGTAGACTGTTGAGTATAAGGTAGACTGTAGAGTATAAGGTAGACTGTTGAGTATAAGGTAGACTGTTGAGTATAAGGTACACTGTTGAGTATAAGGTAGAGTATAAGGTAGACTGTTGAGTATAAGGTAGACTGTAGAGTATAAGGTAGACTATAGAGTATAAGGTAGACTAGAGTATAAGGTAGACTGTTGAGTATAAGGTAGAGTATAAGGTAGACTGTAGAGTATAAGGTAGACTGTTGAGTATAAGGTAGACTGTAGAGTATGAGGTAGACTGTAGAGTATAAGGTAGACTGTTGAGTATAAGGTAGACTAGAGTATAAGGTAGACTGTTGAGCATAAGGTAGAGTATAAGGTATAGTATAAGGTAAACTGTAGAGTATAAGGTAGACTGTTGAGTATCAGGTAGAGTATAAGGTAGACTGTAGAGTATACGGTAGACTGTTGAGTATCAGGTAGAGTATAAGGTAGACTGTTGAGTATAAGGTAGACTGTTGAGTATAAGGTAGAGTATAAGGTAGACTGTAGAGTATAAGGTAGACTGTTGAGTATAAGGTAGAGTATAAGGTAGACTGTAGAGTATAAGGTAGACTGTTGAGTATAAGGTAGAGTATAAGGTAGACTGTAGAGTATAAGGTAGACTGTTGAGTATAAGGTAGAGTATAAGGTAGACTGTAGAGTATAAGGTAGACTGTTGAGTATCAGGTAGATTAGGAGGAGAGATGTCAGAAATAGTTCCTAGCACCAGCCATCACAGTCAGGGTGATCATGTATGCCGCGGTCATGTCTCGCGTGTGTGGCCTCCATACTAACACTTGGGTACACAGGTGTCTCTGGCTGCTACAGCCTTGAGCGACGGAACGATTGGGCATGCTAACCTGCCTGCCTCTTGGGACCTGACTCAGCAATGGTCTTATTAATATGTTTGGTTCGTAGACACACGCACGCACGCACGCACGCACGCACGCACGCACACACACACACATACATTTAGAGAGAAGAGTTAGAGGGGACATGATCACCACATACAAGATTCTCAGAGGAATTGACAGTATTGGGCAGCGTCACTCATCCTGTGAGTGGACACACCGCCATAGTGACAGTATTGGGCAGCGTCACTCATCCTGTGAGTGGACACACCGCCATAGTGACAGTATTGGGCAGCGCCACTCATCCTGTGAGTGGACACACCGCCATAGTGACAGTATTGGGCAGCGTCACTCATCCTGTGAGTGGACACACCGCCATAGTGACAGTATTGGGCAGCGCCACTCATCCTGTGAGTGGACACACCACCATAGTGACAGTATTGGGCAGCGTCACTCATCCTGTGAGTGGACACACCGCCATAGTGACAGTATTGGGCAGCGTCACTCATCCTGTGAGTGGACACACCACCATAGTGACAGTATTGGACAGCGTCACTCATCCTGTGAGTGGACACACCACCATAGTGACAGTATTGGGCAGCGCCACTCATCCTGTGAGTGGACACACCGCCATAGTGACAGTATTGGGCAGCGTCACTCATCCTGTGAGTGGACACACCGCCATAGTGACAGTATTGGGCAGCGCCACTCATCCTGTGAGTGAACACACCGCCATAGTGACAGTATTG